AGTCTAGATGAAAGAATCCTACAATCTACTGTGGTATGTAACGCATACATGAGTACATGAATCATTGTTGCAATCAATTGCAATTCGAAAGTCAGATATATACCCATCACTACTGATCACGAATGACTGGAATACTGCAAGCTTGTATTTTTGTGTTTGTTGTTCACATATATGCCAGTTGAATACCAAGCTTGTCAAATATGGTGCTGCACAGTTTTAAACTGATATAGGGACTTGTGGGTTGCGTGACCCTTTACTTGTGAAAATGATGGTTTACTTTGCAATATATAGGCCCAGAAGACCTGTGTTGCTCAGAACGAGACGGACATTATATTATATCCATCAAGCATTGTAGTGGTTATCACAGGGATTCATCTAGACTTGCTCAGAGGCCCATATTTGTCCCCAAGTCTGCAATAAATATCAGTTGACATTCCAAAAAAAGAATTTAGAATTTCCCAACTCATAATATGTAACTACTGGCTTTGTAGAGGTGAGTGGGAGTTCACAGATCAGGACCAGTGAAGTTAAAGGCATTTTTGCTTAGTTATACTTCATTGCAATGAATGCCATGTTGTTGATGTTGACATGGTTTCAGAAAGTAAGATAATTATTATATAAGTCCCAATTTTGAACAAACTGATGATTTTTGTTCCCAATTTGCCTGCCAAGGGCATTTAATTTGGAATCCTATATAGATCCCTAGGTTATGAAGTGGATGATCTTGTGAAATTTGTACCTAGCTTTAAAACAAGGTATATTTCACCCTGGTGTCAGAAAGAAGTAGGTTATTTCAGCTTCTCTGATGTATGTGTATAACATGAGAAACTCATTGTGTAGGCCTTCCGGCAGCAATTAACCAACATCTTTCTGGTGTATATCATTCTTCATGAACTCTGCGATCGAGGTCCATTTATTATCTTTGGATGACATGATGTATTGCTCAGTTGATTCATCAAGATTATTCAAGTACTGGTACACACTAGGTCAGTGTTCAAATCAATAGGAAGTTGGCACATAAGCATCTCAGTTCATGATTATTAATGGTACATTGTCATAAAATGTTCACAACAGGAGAGAAGGACTAACTAAAAGCTTTGGTCCACCCTCCTCACATCTGCAGGGATGAGAATCTTCTGCGGATCCGCAAATTTTAGTGACCACAAATTTGTTAAAACCTGACGTCTTCCCCCATAAACACCCCCAAATTCATCTGGACCACGCTGCATTGCAAAGATGTTTCAGCTGAAAAGGAAAATACCCGTTCTCATCGGTGCATCTGACTCCCGCTTTTTGTATAGAGCTGGTCAGGAATCATGAACATTTAAGGGTATAACTCAACTCAGTACTCAGTTTTTGTGTCTATAGCGGTGTGCTTGAGTTGAGTAAGTCTTCTCTTATGGGTTTGTATTCACTGCACAACTCTGATGTGAATCTGGGTCCACATGCACACCATCTTAGTGCTAAGACTATCGTAAGCCTATGTGAAAGTATGCGAGTGAGGGTCATCTTAGCGCTAAGATCGCTTTGTGCAAGTGGGCCCTGAAGTGTATGACAACATATTATAAGTTGCTCTATCGCAAAGATGAAACATTAACCGCCGGTCATAGACTCTAAGTTAAATCACCAAAGATACAGCATAGAATATCAAACAAGAAGTGAATTAATTCCACAGCTAGCAAATTTCTTACCAAGGTTTAACCTTGGCTTTAAAGCTTGGGGTCCAGGGAACGCCCAATAATTAATGCCAGCAGTCTTTACAGGCGATATGAGGTCCTGTAAGGTATCGTAATGGTGTAATGTACTGTAAGATTTGATAATCGCTTTGATTTCAGGATCTTTCTATTTCTTGTCAAGAATTTAGTCCAATGATCATTACTGTGCAACCTGATGGACAAACAGTTGTGTGTTTCTGCGTCCATTCTATAAATTTTTGCCTACTGGACACAGTGTGTCATGTAAAACCCTGACTTACGATAAAACTGAATGTGAAGTTCTTAAGCTATGACATCGCTGTTTTGTGATATTGTTGCGTGACATCAAAGCACTGTATGACGCCATCAATGGAATGTCAGTGCACATAAGAAAATAAAGACATTGCTCACTAACCTATTAAAATTGTTTTCCTTCTGATGAACATTTTATCCACACATTGCCAAAAATATTTTAAAAAGTCAAACGCTATAAGTTATACCCTTTTGCCAAACTGTGAGTGAGTGATTTCCCTAAATGTCTCTACAGTATAAGTGAGTAGTATAAGCAGGATATAACAAGCACCAAAAGAATGCACACTAACCCCTTTCTTTTTCAAAAGCTTAATTCCCTGAATGAAGATCGGTAGGCATCTTGAACAGTGTGCCTGTTAAACTGGTAGTAAAAAAAATTGCCAACACCTAATTTTGTAAGCATGTAAACAGACTAACCATCCCTGTGTACCACCTGCATGTACACACGTACACCAATCTGTTTTCAATAGCTTAGCTAGAAAAGGAGCCGTTAGCTAGGAAAAATAACCAATTTCATACAATAAATCTCTCCATATGTTTTCAGATTTGAAATTGAAAACAGCTCAGTTTGGGATTTGATTTTATTGTTTGTGTTCTTATGATCATTTTTTTTTTTTTCAAAATAATAGACTTCCTGATGTCTGAAAATGCACTTATTTTATTAGTATGGTGCAATTGTTTTTAGGCCAGCCATAGTGGTACCATCCAGATTCGAGTTAGAACTAGTCTTCAGCAACATATGCTGGTCATGAGAGACTTTAGACAACAAATAAACCAAACTAAACCCATTTGAGACCTGTGTTATTTCCTCCCTGATCAAGACCTGTGAAGATCCGGCGTAGAATAGGTCTTCCGCAACCCATGCTTGCCGTAAAAGGCGACTATGCTTGTCGTAAGAGGCAACTAACGGGATCTGGTGGTCAGACTCGCTGACTTGGTTGATGCATGTCATCGATCTCAATTGCATGGATCAATCGATGCTCATGACGTCAATCACTTGATTGTCTGGTCCAGACTCGATTGTTTTACAGACCACCGTCATATAGCTGGAATATTGCTGAGTGCGGCGTTAAACAACAAACAAACAATCCTCCCTGATCAAACTGACAAGCCATGATAAAACTAAAATACTGTTCAAAGTGTTGATAAGTCCAACTCACTCCATCACTGTTGTTTTTGTCGCCATAATCCGTGATCATCATGTTATGATGTCAAATGTATCTGTTCCTTCGAGTAGCTGTAATATTTTCCTTCAGAAGTTTCTATTTCCAGCTTGAAAGCAATTGCAATTTATAACTTTTGGAAAAATCAATAATATCTTTGTCAATCGGATATCAGATTTTAAAAGTTGAATTTTTATCCCTCCAGTTTGAACAATGGTAATATAGCGGTCAGCATGTCCTTTTTTCCTATTTTCCATTTCTAGAGCAGAACTCCAAAACCATTGAGTAAATTTTTCAATAAACAGTTCAGTCTACTGGTGAACTGGTGTCTTGTTGATTTGGAATTTGTTTTTGTTAAATTGTTTATGTTTTCATGACATGAAGTAAGTTGGACTTACACTGAAAATGAGGGTAGTACTTGTTTCAGGAGCAGAACTCCAATACCAATGAATATTTGTAGATGAAACTTGCTATGCAGATCAGTCTTGTGGTGAACTGGTATGAGTAACCAAACTCCCTTTCTGAATTGCTCCAAATCGGGTTTGGGTAGGGGGTATATATATGTCATCTCCTGATGATTCATGTTTAGTTCAAACATAATTTACATGTAGGAGCTCCAGACTTCATGCTTTGGGCGAACAACAGTCATTATATTTTCATTGCTTCTGTTTACAGTTTTCGTTTTTTAGATTTGAACTTAAGATTTAATAAGAAAGGGTCACTTTGTTGCACAGCAATGAGTATGTTGAAACAGGGTCTATTTGAGGAAAAACTCAACCCTTTGAAAATCTGGCCATATTACAATGAGGTACTTCATTAAGTCATTGCACTAACTTACATGTTGCAGGTTGTTCCCTCCTTGTGTGGAGTGTCTAAGGGGACCTCAGTGTAGGACAATACTAATTTGCTGTGAAATGTCTGACATCCTGTGTCTTTTCCTGTCAGAGTTCCTTTTGTTACGTTGTTGTTGCCAAACAATGGTGAATTCAAACTTTTCTGTACCCCCCTCACTCAAAGCGTTTACCGGAAGGAACCAGTCAAAACCATAAATTGCTGTACTTCCCACTGCAGGGAAGATCAATGGGGCACTAGAGTGAATGTAATTCACATCTCGAATGTTCAGACCCTCCAGTGTTTTCCTTTTGTGTCTATTGTTTTACGCTGCAGTCAGCAATATTTGAGCCATATCATATGGTCTCAATTATAAACCTTGCCCGACACACCAGTGATTAATAATATTTCTATCAACAACATCCCATGCAATCTTGCGATGATGACATGAAATCAACCATTCACAAGTCTGATCATCTTACAAGTAATAGAATGCTGTGGATCGATTCTGGAGACCCACAGCTATGTTCCTACCATTGTATGGTCCAATATGGATATAACAATGTCAACGTGTACTCAGACACCCATCCCCAGAACAGTCCAATTCCAGAGCTATGAAAGTTTGGTGCATCATTGAACCAAAGTCATCCTGATAAGCTGGAATTTTTTTTCTTATTTTTAACAATATTAATATTTAGTTTGTGTATTTTGTTATTTAGACGAATGCCTGTTTCCCTTTACATCCTTCTAAAGATGTAAATGTTTCTTTTTTATAGTCGACTTAGCAGCGAGCGTCGTCATCGAGAGCGCCGTCACCGCCACAGAGAGCGTTCCTACTCCAGATCTAGATCCCTGAGCCCAAGTCACCACAGTCGCAGCCACCACTACGGAGAGTCGGATCAAAGCTCACGGTACCGCTCCGACAGCCGACGACATCGCAGACGTCACCGCCATCGCAGGAACAGACGGTCGTATTCCTCAGGCTCAAGTCGGGTAGGTGTCGTCCTTGGGTTCATGTGTCTGTGTAGATAAAGAGTCCATAACGTAACGTAGTTGTACACATAGTTGCGTAGGACAGTGTTAACGATAGCAGGCAGCGGGACTCCCTGGACGGGGTCATTCAGGTTGGTATCATCTTGGGGTGGGTGGGAAGGTGCAACTTGCATCAGAGTGTAGGGAGGAGAAAGAAATGGTTTTGGTGTTCCCAACAAGACTCCTGATAAGAGGTGAGATTATAGGCTAGACCTAACCATGCAACAAAAGACAGGGTTATGTGGGACAGCAGATTGGGCAGGGGCAAGCGATGGTTATGACTCAACATAAGGTAGGGAACAATAATAAATTACACCATAAATATGAAGTTTATACATCATTACACCAAGTATTTTGTGGAACAAGTCTTCGGAACATATTCCAGTTTTTTTTACTTGTGTGATAAGGGATGACAGTGGGACCTTGTCTGATTTGATTCATCACATTAATGGACAGCAAAACTTTTAGAATGAGAGATAAATGCTTTTGGAAATGTATATGTGTCCTTAAACACATTTGTTAATTTCTAAATTTGACACATGCATTGGTATTTTTAACCTGTCTGCAACATAAAGTATTGCAAGTCTACATCATCTGTTGCCATGTGATACGAGGCTGGTGCTGATGCAAAATTTGGCCTGTAATTACAGAATTCAAATTGTAACTAAATGATCAGTGTTGATGATGACCATGAAAGCAAAACAGTAGATGTTGATAAAACTCAAGAAGTTACAGATGCAGTGGATTTCAGTAATTGTTTTGTCCAACATTCATGAAACTTATTTAGTGGGAAATATGCGTCAGAACAATCACCAGTTAGGGTTGAGAAGTTTGAACCCCTGCTGTTTATCTACAACATGGTAAGTGTAATTTGCATGACTTGTATTATCCACGTAAGTATAACAAATTACAGTTTGATTGTTTGCAGCTGCAAATACTTACTTGAATGTATTTAGATATGTTGGACAACAGCGGCAAAAGTCTGCGTAGCTGGTGGTACTCTTAAACAGTCACAACAAGCGTGGCCTTGAAGGCTAACACCAGTCTTTTATCAAATAGTCCTACAATGACACAATAATAGCCCAGCATGCATACAAATGATGGTTGGTTCATTATTCTGTCAAGGTTTCTATGTTTGAGAGGGGAATCCAAAACTGTATGCCAAAATTTTCGCATGAGCATTTTGGGAAAAATTAGCCCAAGCTCTTGGACTAGGCAATGGACGTAGAGAAATTTTGCCTTGACTAGTGCTCAGTCAAGTTAGGATATTGATTTGTGAATAGAGATGGTGAAGTGGTGGGCTAGCTGTGCTATGCATAAGACTAATAGTGAATGTTGATTGTGGAATTGATGGGGGGAAGACTTCAGCAGATGGACACTGTGGGCTTGTTCGCCTGCCAAACCAGGCGCCAGTCCTTGGCCCTAGACTGTTTCTGGAGATATTGATGGTTTTTATCGAACCCCAACCACAACTGTTGACTTCTGCTTTGGACCACTCAGCTGTTTCATGTTCTTCTTCTGTTAGAACAATTTTGGTGGATCTGTGATTTTGTTACCTTGGAGGTTCTGCCCCGGACATGGGCAAATGGCTCATTTTGTGATTTCTTGCTACATTGTGTTGTTTATGTTGTGGTGATCATGTGATGTAATTGCTCCGGAAGATGAAGATGTCGGGGACGGATGTTACATGCGCTCCATGTGAACAAGCATATCTTTGATACATCTTCATAATCAGGCAGCTTGGGATCAATATTAAACTAAGTGATGTGATGAATTGTAAATCGGGAAATAGACTCCGTCCTCCAGGATGAAAAAAATGCCACTTTGGCACATGTACCACTGACAATTTGACCCGGCTGCGTTTGGCTGGTCTGCCAATGTGACACTGGACCTGTACTTCCGAAGTGTACATTCTTACACCCATGGTGAGGCTGTAACTGGGAAGCTCCCTCTCAGGAAGGCAGTGCTTCACGTTGCGGGTTTAGGAGCAGTGTGATGTAGGTCAAAACATACTGGATGCAGTAAGGACACATCTGGTGTGTGCTGTCCTCCAACATACCACAAGATGACATCACATCATGAGATTAATTGGTCATTATGCTGACAATCAGGCCTCTTGATTGACAAGCAGTTTTAGCAGGAATGTAAATAACGCCTTCACTTGTTTTCCTGTTTCACTGATTGTTGGAGGTGTGGGTCTGTCACATGAGTGACAGATAAGCTTTGTTAACAGCAGTGCCAGTGAACCTCATATGACGAGACGGAATTGCAGGCAGGATTTCCTGTATCCACGATGAGAGGATTTACTTTGATAATGGTCAAGTTGAAATATTCAGATGTTACGGATGGTTAACAGAAAACAACTATGACATGATGTGATCTGAAGGGGACGACCACAGAATTTCACAGATCAGGTTGGACATTTTTTCTAAATAATTCCTTCTCTAATGGTACTTAAAATATGCTACGTGTAAGTTTTATCAGTACATTAACCTTCAATAGTAATCCCTTTAATTTAAAAATAAATAGCGTAAACAATTTTCAAGATACTATTAAATAGGAACATTATTGAAAACTGTACTGTTTAATTTAGGCTCTATATAGTGTGAGTGTTACCATGCATTTCCTAATACTAGAAGATCTTGACTTAAAAGTGTATATGTGTATATATACATATATATATATTGAGCAGTGTTTGCAATTGTAGTCCTTCAACCATCAATTTGGCGCACAGTGTTTCACAATTACTTTCATCATTGGGTTGAATATTCAGGTGATCTAGGGTCATGCATGCAGAAAGCATTTTTGACACGCTTCAGGGTAATGTCAACGGTCACAAAATTACATGATAACAATGAAGAAAATATTTTCATATATTATAAAACTGGTATTTTTGGTTCTGGCTATGAATATTATTCAATAATAACCAACCATCCTCTCGTGATTGTGTGTTTAATGGAAAATAATTATGAAAAAAATGGTGCCAAAATGATTGTTGACATGCTATAGGCAATAAAGACAAGGAATCTTGTCAGGATAACCCTATTGTTTAGTATCAAAGATTTTATTAAACGTTTAGTGAGTCTTACATTACTTCACACTCTAAATACCTCATGTTTTAACCCTTATCATCTTTGTATTAAGATGGGATTTATTCCATTTCCAAAAGTGTGGCAGAAAAATAGCCTAGCTGATGGTTATGTAGGAATAAGAGCTTGCCATGCTGTGGAATGGCCATATCAAATCCCACTCATGGAATATGCAAATACGGATGAGATATGTTTCATATTTTCATATCTCAAACTCTTTATTGCGTTACGGGATAATTTTAAATAGAGGAATCTTGATGAAACTTGACTCGGTGGAAATTCTTAATTTGGTTTTCTGTGATCAGCATTTTCTTTCACAAAGTAAACATAAAGACCCACTCCCCAAGACTCTTGCCACTGCTGAAGACACATCACTGTTCATGATATTGGTCAATCTACTCCTCAAATCCACATAAGTGACAGATTTTGAGTGAACAGTATGGGAATTCTGGCATATTGACAGAATCACATTTCAGTTGATTTTGGTGACTGTCTTGACCCAGAAGTGCTAGCCTCTCCTGGGATCAATGGAAAGAGGGCTGAATATTCTGATTGGGATATGGGTGGTGAGAGTCCTGGAGATGATTGTAGGAGTATAGGATCTTCAAGTTGACTAGCTGATAGACAGACTTGGGTAATGGTCTCTGCCAGATGTTTTACTGCTAATTAAGGTCAAGCGGTTTGATGCCAAATTGCCACTTTCCACAAATTAATGGTTTATTGACTTTAAATAAATCTGAATGGGAATTTACTTAACTAAACTACTATTCTATTCACAAAATATATTGTTGATTTAAATTTGTAACTACAAAAACCCAGTACATTTTTTCATTTAGGTGGTCACTGGATTGCTATAAAAGCCATTTTGGCAAAATACATTAGTTCAGAAATAATTTTCAATATATCGTGATTATCTGTTAGGTAACACACTAAGCATGGTTCTCAAAGTATGAAGATGCTTGTTCATAACATAATTTAAAACAAATATAAGTCAAAATATGTTACTTTTCCAAATATTAATTGCTACACAAAGTGGTCTATAATCCTGCTTACCCTTTTTCTTTGCTAGTCTCAGAAAAAAGTAAGGTCATGTTTTAATCAATGATTTTGTTCAAATTTTATTCTTGTAAAAGTGGAATTGTCATGTCCCTAAAAGTTGTAAGCATTAATACGGTGCTGATCTCTTCAAACAAAGAAAACTTTCCAAACTTTTCCAATTTTGAAAACAATAAAAATGTATATACCTTCAGACCAAAATACCAGAAATATCAAACAAGCCAAACAAGTTAGATAATACTTGATGAGTAGTACAGTTATGGAATGGCTGTAGTATGTCCATGGAAGTATAACCACAATGTTTACACTGCTGCCTGTCCTGCCTGCAGGGGTCCCAGCAATCTCCCAGTGGTCTGTAGATAACAGCAGGAGCGGCTGAACTATATCCATCTTCACCAGCCATCTTGTATTGAAGGGAGGAGGAGGAGGACACCCCAGGAATTCTGCCTCCCCCTCCTCTCCACCCCTCCCCCTCCTGCCTGCACCCATGTGGTGCTTGGAGAGTGAAACTCTAGCAGATGCTGCTACCAGTCTATTTTTAGCAGCCCCCATAGTTCAGTGGATGAGGTTTCACCCCCTCTCTGATGTAGGCAGTCTGCTCTGTGAGAAAGCCAGTGCTCCATAGGCTCTGGAACAATTTGGAGGGGGAAGAGAGATAGATATATACACCATCTACACAACAGAGGATATTCTGGGAAGGAAAAGTCATAGCTGGTGCAGCAGTGCTTTTGTTGTTGGCGGTGCTACATAAAGTTTGGCTGAGTTGTTTTGAAGCAGCCCCCACTGGAGGCATTGGTTCCCCTCCTGTCACTCTCGTACCTTTAGGCTGGCTTACTACCTTCTCTCAGAAGGAGCAGGCTCCTGGCTCAGTCTTTCGACATGAGAGTAGATGTTCTAGCTGCTTTCAAGGAAGTTAAAGAATGGGGGAAAAATATGCCTGCTTCTGAATCAAAGCGGAACTTGCCTAACAAGGTATGTGGTCGTGGGTTACTTGGGCCATAGTGTGTAGTGGCAGGGACAGGAAGTTGATACATTTATGTAGGGCATGCATCAGAGTATGGTCAAGGTACGGGAAAATAATAATAAGTTTACTTTTTGTCATATTTCGTTGAAACAGAAAATGTTGATGATTATTGATGGAGTTATTTTCTGTTTATTTGGATCAAATGTTATTTTCACAAAAAAGTTTTTCTAAGTACTACTTTTTTCTGACATGGCTGTGTTTGTTTGGTTGACCATAGATCAAAATTATGGGTTTGAATTTTATCAAAAGAGATTTCGGAATTTGGTAATGATCCAGAAAAATACTGGTTATCTATATTTTTAACGTGGACCAGTGCTGGTAAGACAGATACCCTCTATGATCAGGGATGAATCATCACAAAGCACGCCATGTATTTGGCAACACTGACCTCAAATTCTTACAGCACTGTTCACCCAAAGCTAGGTCTAAACATACCTAAACTTCTTATTCCCTGGCTGATATAAAACACATTTATGAGATGAGTGTGAAAATTGATCCTGTGTCTGTTTGGGCTGGTTTCAATTCCAGACTAGGGGAAACTGGCACCGACAAACACGAAATGTCAGATTCATGCATATTCATAGCAGATAACGTAAGGTTGGTATGTTTACATCAGTGGCTAGGAATTACACAGGAGGGTAGTGTTCCTGAAGTATGTCCGAGATTTGAGTAGATGTTGGCCTTTCATTGATACATCTGTATAACATGAAGTAGGTAGTAGCATCATATATGATGGCCTCCTTGGTGTCGGGTTACAGTGCAGTCTCTCATCTCACAAGCCTATATATAGGACAGTCTCACCCCCAACCATTCATGTCCTGATTTCTTCAGGAACACTGACTTTGGCAATAATTTGGTGTTTGAAATTTTTAATTCCGCTTTCAGAACTACCACCTGGTGTGATTGGAACATATTTATTGACAGAACAGTGGCTGGATTGGAAAGCTCATCAACCAAGTGACTGTTCTGTGGATTAAATATGTGCTTGTTCACAAAGTTTATTAAAGGTTCTGAAAGTATCATGATAGATGTTTTCATAAGGATTGACATATCTAAACCTGTAGGCAAGATATTTGGTGAAAAATACGTTTATAAATATATTAAAAATATATTTAAAATATATGTACAGTTGTGTTCAATTTTGGTATGAGAATAAGCATTTTGGTAAATATACAAACCTGACAAGGGCAGAAGACTGAGGTCATGTGGGACATTCCTGCAGCATTTGCATACTTTGAAGTCACAAACATAGACTAGGTGATAATAAACTTGGCAAGGTGATATTTCTTTAAGTATTACATTTGTCTGGGTAGTTAACTGGACAAATGCCCTATTGTTTGTGTAATAATAACAAAGTTGTACTAAAGGGAAAATAATCCCCTCAATTTGGTGAGTAACAGGTCCCAAAGAAGATGATACAATTGGTATCAGGGATGTAAACACCATTACCATGGAGTCTTCAAAGGCTGGCTCTTCCAATCAATGGCATTGTAATAAAGTTTGTAATGTGAGGGGGAATGATGGCTACCCCTGGCCATGTTTCCAAGCATTCATGTGTTTTCACTGCCTTGGTGGATTTCTTCTCATCCAGCTAAAACTACATGTTGGTTTCTGTTGCTATACCAACACAGAGTGTAACCACACAGCCTGTCTCAATGCTTTGGAAACTGGTCTTGTGTTCTGTAATGAGATTTGGGAGGGAAGGCATCATGGCCTTGTAACACTATTGATAGTAATAGAATTTTGCTTTACTGCCTCTGAAATGGATGAGGGAGAGGAAATGAGGTTACATGTATTGCTTTGACAACAGAAAGGTTGCCAGGCATGAATGTCAATAAATGCCATGTTAATCAACATTAACAAATTGCTGAATCAGTAAGCCTCAGATAGACAAATTGGTCAAAAGTTCCCTAGCACCAGGTATTAAATAAAACTGCAGCAAAACACGTTCTTCTGTCTGTTCATTAGATAAGTATGTAAGTGTGTTGCCTTTTGTGCTGTTGATATCCAAGAAACTTCTGGGTAGGTGTTATTAAAAAGAAGTGTGGGTCAAGTTATTCAACATTTAAGAAGATTCTCTAAATTTGGTTAGGTAGGAAAACAGTTTATACACTCATACAACACGTTAAAGTATTGTAAATAACGATGGGTGTTTTGCAAGTGACAAATAACATTGAGACATTTTCATGATTTTTCTCTACTTTTGATTGGGTGTGTTGGGGTAGCCTCGTGGTTAAAGTGTTTGCTTGTCATTCAGAAGGCCTGGCTTTGGTGCCAACATGGCTACAATGTGTGAAGTCCATTTCTGGGGTCTACCACCCTGGTATTGCTAGAATATTGCTAAAAGTGGTATAAAACCATATTCACTTGCTCACAGAATCACTCTTTATCATAGGACATTCACTCATATTGTTACCAAATTTGAAAAAAAAATAATGTCTTCTGCACATTTTGGATGATAATGTCCTAGAATTTTAAACCTTGAATATGTCAAATAAACATGGGGATGTTATGAAGGTATCTCGCTCTTGTGCTGTGAGACCACAGCGTGAGTCAAATGTCAGAGTTAAATATGATAATTGACTGTACAGTGGGACGATGATTACCCTGTCAACTAGATGCTGCAATTTCCTCGGGACCAAACATCACGGCATATTTACAATGATGCAGGCCATTGTTCATTTCATCTGTAGTAGAAGAACTACTATAATGGTGTGAAACAATTCTTACACAAACACTTGTCTATGACTTGTGACATTTGAGTCTAAAGGGCTAGTGCAGCTGGGAGATTTATGCATCATGTTCGGATCTATTTGGCCTTGTAAAACCATTATCTTTCTGAAGTCCATACCCAGCAAAACAGATGAATATTCTCGTATCCAAATTCATTCAAGATTAATTCCCTAACGTTATTTAGATGCGTAACTTTGTAGTCTAGATCAAAAGAGGAATATGCCATTGTGATGTCTGGACTCTATCAAGGATTTTATTTAGTCAGATGATCACATAAGTCAATAGATAATACAATCTAATTGAAAAACACTTACAATAGAGGTTCTGCCGTGGACTCAGTTGCTTCATCCCCAGTGCTTTGGGGGGAAAATAATAAATAATACAAATATGAGAATAGTTGTTTATGCACTAATAATGTTTGACATGTAGATGAGAAGACAATTTTACCTTCAGGTTCCTCTTCTTCTTGCGACATTAATGTATGCAGCTGATATTAGTATTTGCATATTGTTTCTATTTTTAAAAAAAAGATTAAACAAACTGTTTTCCTGGATTTGGCAAAGCAATATCAACCAAGGTTATACGTGACCCCATTCTGAATGCCAGTACCAGTTTTGTGAATGGTTGGTTCTGTCATATTGGAAAGTGTCATCAAATATTCATAACTTGGTGGTGTCCCCATGGCTATAGACTTGTGAGCGAGAGTTTTCACTTATCCACACAACAAAAAGGATGGTGAGATATGTTTTATGCTGTATTTATTTATTGTTATGATGTATTGTGTTATCCAGACTTCAAACTTGAAGCAGATGTTTAATTTCTAATTTACAAACACTGACCCATTGGAGGCAAGAGTGACAGTATGAGTGGAAATAATATAAAATAAAGGGGCCTTTTCGTGTTGTATTTCAAGATCCTCCCAAAGTGCTATGTAGAACTATTGCTCATACTGAATGTTTACCTCACCTAAGTTTTCAAAATCAATTTTCCATGATTTCTGTTATTTTCTGTGACATATGATACCATGGGGATGTGGGTGGGCACTGGGCCCTGTTCGCAGTGGACTCGGGGGCACGGGTGGCCCAGTCGTCTCAGGGGCCGTGATTTGCTGTGCAGAGTTGTGTCCCTTGGGCATGCCGGAAACCTATGATTGTGAGTTCGAATCCCGGTTCGCCCCGATTATGTTTCTAGGTTTGTCAGCACCATACCTGTGCTAATGGGTTTCACCGAAGTGATAAACGTCTGAGACCTGCATCACTTCGGGCTTTCCTCCCACATTAAGCTGACACGCTGCGATATGACTGGAATACTGTTTAAAGCGGCGTTAAACCCAACTCACTCACTTGCATTCAACTCTTATGTGATGATATTCTGATATTTGGACCTCTTCATCGGACTCATTTGCATTGCTCTTTCTCCACGTAGTCTAATTATCAACTAGATTATCAAATGGGACGGGCTATGGGAGGGCCAGTGTCTTGTCAGTGTGAGTTATCTCTGGGTTTGATTCTCCACATGTGGGGAATAGGCCCCCAGCTCCCCATGCTTGTCATAAGAGTTGACTACAATAGGGACTGGGTGGTCCGGCTCTGTGACTGCTGACTTTGACAATATACCAGTGTGGTGGATCGTTAAATTTTCAGTCACTGGTTTGCCTGGTCCAAACCTGATTATTGCTGTCTGTGATTGAGCTGGACTACTGAATGTAGCATTAAACAACATTCACACACTTATTCATTCATTGAAACCTGTGAGTTTAGAATGTTTGCATAATAAAATGATGCTGTTTAGTTACTCACTTATTAAGCGAAGGGACATAGATATAGTGATAGCTTTTGATTTTAAGATCACTGTCCTCTATATGGGTCTCACTTCTTGCTTCATACAGTGAGTTGTGAATAGATATATGGTTTGTTTTCAAAGATTTTATAAATCTAAGCCTGTTTTATTTGTCAAGCATCAAGTTTGAAGACTGAGCACACAAGGTGAAATATTCTAAACGTCCATTGCCAATTAAAAATTGATTTGAAGTAAAGTATATTTCTTTGCTGTTAGTATTAGGTTGACATGCTTGTGTTGTGTATGACGTTTAATATACACATGAATTTTGACACGATCTTTACTTGGCGTTGCCTCCCCTTGTTTATCTCATATGTGCCGATTGTGGCGTGTCGTGCCGCCCAATTGCTGTAACGGTGACTGAAACCCCGAACGCTGACATCCTCTGAACAATTCGACTTTCCTCGATGCTCTCTTGACCACTTCCTGTCCGATGTGGATGCTGTTGAATGATGGGATTGAAATGGCGGTTGGGTTGACAGGAGCAGCCAGAGTCAAGTGAAAGAGCACCAAGCGTCAACGATGACGATGATGGTCACCTGATCTATCACCAAGGCGACGTCCTACAAGCACGATGTACTCGACTTTCCGTAACGTTTAGTCTAGGATATCTATGTTATTGTTGTTTACCATTGCCTCAGTTTCATGCAGATACTTAATAATTCTGATACAAAATGCTTCATTATACTTTGACACTTAGTGTATGATTTCTTTGATATTTTTGCTTTTACTGATGTCATGGATCCTGTGAACAGGATGAGTGGCTGCAATACAGAAATCCCCATGTATTTGGGGGTGCTTGTCATAGCTCGTCCTTTTGACTAATATGTCATTGCTTAAAATGCTGATCTGGCTGAACTCTTTTTCCTTGGAAACTCTATTCAGTACTGCAGACTTGCCTTAAAAAATCTTTGACTTTGGAAGAACTCCCTGATGTGAAAAATTCTGATAGACCAAACCAAATTTCAAAGTTCGAAGGAATGATTCCCCCATAATGAATTATTTTGGTCGAGTAACGTACAGCCGTCAATAATATTGATTCTGGGTTTGAGATGTCACTAGAGCTGTACGTGTTGAGACCCTTCTTTTTACCCAGGCACATCTCATAGGAGAGTTAAACAAATTAGGCTTGAAGAATTTACTCCACATAATAAGTTATCGATAAGACGCCAGCCTGGCTGTAGAATTAGGACTCCACGTTTCTTGACATGAGATGAATTCTGAAGCAAACATATTTGCTTGTAGCCCCAGCAAGCCAAATATTCAAAATTTAGCCATGAAGCCTGCGACATGTTTTACCTTACAGGATGTATGCAATGATTAAGAAATGATTCTGCACTTCACTATAAATAATTGCAATGGCTGTTTTTGGATAGATTCATTGCAATGTAATTATGTCCTAGACTGGTGGCTGGATTTTGAATGTTAAAGAAGCAAGTCTGAAGTATGGTTACTGGTAGCTCCATAATGCTAGGTACATTGGTTTGCAGGGGTCTGTCATGGTGGTAGGATTCTGAAATGTTGGTATTGTCTTGTTTGCAGATGAAGTAGTTCAGACACTGGGAGAAGGTACATTTGGCAAAGTGGTGGAATGTAAAGACCGACAGAGGTAAGTTAGCTGTGTTTAGATAGACAGTATTGTTGTTGTCTACAGGAAGTTGTCTATGTGCTGCAGTTCGCTGTGCCTAGATTGTTGGTGGTGGGTTCAAATCCCAGAATCTCTCTAGTTGTTGTTTTGTCTTCATGGTTCTTCATGAGTTGTAACCATTATCTGATCCTTACAGTGGACTTTCTTTCAGTTGGCCTTGGAGTTGTAAATGGATCCAGGATTTATCTTGACCTGCTCCGAGCAAATATCAGTACAAATTCCCAAATTGGAACCACAAATTTCCCAGTCAATGTTGTGTTGTAATAACTATTGTTTTGGCTGTGTGGAGGTGACTTCTGTTTCACTGTGTTCATAGCAGAGTTAACCCCAACTCACTCACTCACTTTACTCTATTTCACTGACCACTTTTAGCAAAATAACTATTTTCCCCCAAATTGCCCAGAATAAGTCCCTGGGATCCTAATAAAAGTAACTATGGATGTTTTATGAAAGAGAAAACATGCAGGGATCTCCGTTTGGAAACTAAACATCAGTCAGACATATGAACTATCATCATTCTTCACCTTGCTGTAATAGTTGGGGTGGATTTATCTTTGTCATAGGCCAGGCTTAGAAATAAACCCTGGCAACATTGAGAAACACCCAAAAATGTTTGATACTGTACCAGCCCTTAGGATACATGGCTCAGGCTCGTGGCCTTGGGCTGATTTCTATACCTGGTGGTAGGCCTGACAGTGTGATCACAGTGCACCCACATCATCTGATGGGCCATGTGTGACATGATTCCATAGCATACCACTGGAAAAAGGCAGCCAACGTTGCCAATGTCTTTGGGGGAAGGCAACTACTGTTTGTTAAGGATGCAAAAGGTGAAACTCTCTTTCAAAATTGAGTAATGTCCAAATATTTTGTACAAAATCTTCCAGAAACAAACACACGGGTATATACAAACGCAGGTGTTCATACCAACACACAGGTACATACAAACACACAGGTACATACAAACACACAGGTACATACAAACACACAGGTACATACAAACATGCGGGTACATACAAACACACAGGTATATACAAACATGCGGGTACATACAAATGCAGGTGTTCATACAAACACACGGTCACATTCAAACACACAGGTACATACAAATGTGTACATACAAACACAGGGGTACATACAAACATGTGGGTACATACACACAGTGATGAGCTCAGAAGCAACTGGTTCCTTATCCTAGGTACACCATTTTCTGGAACCCATGTGTAATTCGGGTTAGAATTGGTCCCTTACAACATATGCTGGTCATAACCCTGAGGATTCCGGGTTAGAACTGATCCCTTTAACCTATGCGACCGCCTCCGTGGTCTTGTGGTAGAGCGTCCGCCCGGAGAGCGGAAGGTCCAGGGTTCGATCCCGGCCGCGTCATACAAAAAGACGTTAAAAGATTGTACTCGTTGTTACCTTGTCTGGCGCTCGGCATTAGGTGCTAAAACAAGGACTGGTCGGCTCGGAGTCAGTATACTGTGTCTGAGTGGGGTATTCATGTTAAACTGCGGCATGGTATCTCAGTGAGCTAGCACTATAAATCGGCATCAGTCCGGACTAGTACAAGCAGCCACACACACACATACACGTGCATGCACATCGCTATATAAGTGCAATAATCTTGGACGCGACGTTAAACCCCATTTCACCTCACATCACCTTTAACCTATGCTGGTCATAAAGGGCATCTTAATGGACCAGGAGATAAGGCTTGCTTACTTGGTTGAGCTCGTGTCAACGTATGCCAATGGCATCCATCACTGTATCAATCACTGGATTGTCTGGTGCAGACTTGATTATTTACAGGCTGCTGACATGTAGCTGGAATATTGCTGAGTGTGAAACAACAAACATACAAGTACCATTTTCTAGAAGTTGGTCATATTGGTGAACGTATGTCTATTTCCCAATTAAGCTGCTGGTGCCGTTCTCCATTGAGATAGCTCACAAAGTATCCTTTGTTCAATAATAATAATTGATAGCCTTTCAATAGATACCTAATGAGTAGATTTTAAGATAGTTGCTGTCACCAATATGTTCTGCTCCCTTGATGAATCTGTTGGTTGTAGATGTGTGATGGTGCATCCATTGATGAACCATTAGCAACTAAGCATCATGTCACTATATTGGTATTCTGAGTAACTTGGTGCATAGTGAAGTGTAGTGTGTCATGGCACTCCCAACACATGCTAATTGACCTGACACTGACATGGTATTTACAGCACTGAATAATCATAAATTGGCTTACTCAATGCAAAAAAGTCATCGCTTAGACAATTTAGAGATATCAGTAAAATATGATATCATGTATGAAACATTTGTTACATTTGACCACATTCTAAAAGGCTCTGTCTATTCATAGTTTCAGCTATGAGAGCAATGCCATTTCACTTTTGTCAGAGGGGTAAACAAAGTATGTGACCTAGACCACCAGTTGCTTGACTTCCATCTTAGTGGCTAGTGGCTGAACGGGTTAGATTGCTGACTTTGTGTGCTGGCAATTAGGTGCCTCACTCTAAGAGTGTGAGTTTGAATCCCAGATGTGATTCCACCTAGAAAAAGTATTGGAATTTGTACTTTACTGAGAAAGTGTAATCCCAAATTTGAAGTATGTTACATTGTCTATTCTCATTATGTATATTTGTACAGATTGTGTCTATGTTGGTTGTATTGAACTTATTAAATGACAGCTCAACCTTCCAGTGCTGCACAACGCCCACTGCATATCTCCTCTAAGCAATACTTCCCAAATCCATCAACCAAATTTAATATGGGGCTACAAACGACCCTTCAGGAATCCATTGAATGTGGCACTGCAGCTCTAAACCAGGGCCTGGACAAGCTGTGTGACACAAAGACCCAATCCTAAGTTATGTACAACATGTCCAGCTCACTGCCTGGGAACTACCCACAGTCATCAGCTGATGGCAGCATTGCCTGTGCCACATTTCTCCATGCCCTTTATGTTAACATTAGGACTGTCTGAATTCAGGAGCTATTGACCTTAAATGTCGGGTTCATGCTATGTATCAGTGTTGATCATTAAATGAGGTAGATATTCAAATCATCAACATGGAGGACACTCTTGATGAATCGGAATTTAATGTCTTACTTTCCGCTAGTTACATTTTATGCCTCCTCATGGAGTTGTTCAATCTATGATTTGCACATTGCCATGTTTAGTGTCCAACTAGTGGTATCAGTCCCAGATCAGGTCTGGACATTTCTGGTGAATGTTTCTCTTGGTAGAGCAAGTCTATTATGTAAATCTTTCTGTGGGCTACAATGGGAAACAAGACCTGTTCATGTGTGTTGCTCTTTATCATTTGGATCATGCTTGTTAAGACGTTTCGTTATCCTCTGGGGCAGAATCAGGCTTCAGTACCCAATGCTTGTCATGTGAGCCGACTATCGGATGGTTCCTAACAGTGCAACCCTGACATTCATCATGCCCGGATGCAAGGGTAGTTGGTCATGTCATCAAACACTTGTATACCTGGCTCAGACTTTATTTACAGGCGACCGCCTCCGTGGTCTAATGGTAGAGCGTCCGCCCGGAGAGTGGAAGGCCTGGGGTTTGATCCCCAGCCGTGTCATACCATAAGACGTTAAACGATGGTACTTGTTGTTACCCTGTCTGGCGCTCGGCATTAAGGGGCTAAAACAAGGACTGGTCGGCTCGGAGTCAGTATACTGTGTCTGAGTGGGGTATTCATGTTAAACTGCGGCATGGTATCTCAGTGTGCTAGCACTATAAATCGGCATCAGTCCGGACTAGTACAAGCAGCCACACACACACACACATACACGTGCATGCACGTCGCTATAAGTGCAATAATCATGGATGCGACGTTAAACCCCATTTCACCTCACCTTTATTTACATGCTGTCGTTATATCTCTGATATATTATTGACTGCTACATATAACAGTACTCACTCACTTATCCACTTGTGAAATATATCAATACACTTGGGTTATGATGTCAGACCGATGTTGAAAGTAAATAAATTTAAAAGTCACATTTCTACTAGTCCTTATGATACCTTAACTATTGGACAGTTTGGCAAGGACTACAAGACTAGTGCCAATTTCTAACGCTGATTTGTACCATTTTAATGGCTTTAATAACATGTGAACTAGACGTCTTTGATTCTTTGTTACTTTTAGACATTTCTAGGGTCTGAGAATATATATGTATGGTATTGGGAACGACTTGACAATCACCCAAATCTTCTCGAGCATTTTGACAGTATTGCGTTAGAAGTAACCTGGTTTCAGCAGTGTCTATTTTTGAGCCTGCCTACACAGATAGAAAGGAGCGTTACAACCAACATTAAAGTAGACGTAAATAACTTCATGTTTTCAGCAAGACTCATCTTACAGTATGTCGTCACGTTTGGAATTTAAACTACATGAATCATGGAGCTTCCCCTGTGTATCATTGTCTCCTTCATTTAGTGCAGATGCTTGAATCTGAAAAAAACACACCATTCTCTCATGTTTTTTTGTTTTATACCACAATTGGGGTAGCCTTGTTTCGATTCCCCACTTGGGCACAATGTGTAAATCTCATTTCTGGTGTCACCCGCCGCACTATAGCTTGAATGTTAGAATACATAGAATAAACCAAACTCACTCACTCTCACACTCACTCACTCACTCATACCACAAGTATAGATCTTTTCCTCTGTTTCGTTCAGCCTGTTGTAAACTTTTGGAAGAAGCTGTTCCTTCAATGTGTCAGATTTGTAGACTTGTCAGATTTGTAGAAGTTGTGTATGTGTGATTGTGAAGTTGAAAAGTTGTATATTAGTCTTGTATAGGCGACAGGGTGTCCTAGTTGTGGATGTGATTCCTTGCTACAAGAACTTGGTTCATTTTGAGACATAAGTGGAGTAATTTTTTACACTGGCAAGAAATGGCTCATAACGAGCCTGTTCTTGCAAGTGTAAC